TGCAGCTCAGCAGGGGGGGGGAAGGGGGGAACAGAAATATAAAGTAATACAGAATACCCGTAGGGAGTATGGGAACACACAGGGAAGTGCAGTTGTCATTTACATTTTTCACTTATAAACAAACAAAAAAGCTAGGAAATTCCCTGTAACAGAAAAAGCTGTTTAAAATACATTTAAGGTTGCATACTGTTATAGCCACAGAAGAACCAGGAAATCACAAGTTAAATCTTCACTCAGCCTTTGCAACCCACAACCATGCATTCTCATTTTCCACATTACCTCATTCATATCTACAGCCTACCACCCCATACACTCTGCTCCAGACACTGGATGTCACCTTAACTCCAACCCCAAATATAACTCCTAGCAAAAAGAAAAACAACAACAAAAACACCACAGTGCTACTAAATATTTGTAAATAATCAGTGCCAGAATTAAAATGTGCTACTGCAACTGACTCCATCTATGGCGACAAACTGCTTTGAGAGCAGCTCAGCTCAATGTTTTAAAGAACTGGAAAACACCTATTTCTACCCATTCGGCATGGTCAGAGTTCAAAGCTGCACATTTCCTGGAGCTGGCAGGGAAGACACTTAGCTGCAGTAAGCAGGTGGTGGACATTGGTGAGGCAGTTTGGAGACAGAAAACTCAGGAGTTCTGGGATATAAGCATAGGGCAAGGACTTATCTAACAGTTTTCCTGCCTTTTTTTAAGGTCGTACCAGAAGCAAAAGTGATTGAGCAACCCTAACTGATTTTCAGAGGAATAGTTTCAGGTGAAATATGTTTGAGCTGTCACCAATTAAGTTAGGAATATGCATAAGGAAAAAGTGTGGAACATCAAATTCTTGTATTTTAGGCAAAAGTGATTATTTCATAATATATCTTGATCACTTTAGGCATTTTGAAAAGTCTCTGAAGACAAACTGGATTTGGATTTGAGAGCTGGCTGCTTTGCATATTCATTACATTTTTTGCAGCATTTCCAAAGGACTTTTAGCAGGAGAAGAAAATTACATGTAGCTGCAGTAGCTAGACTTAGCAAATTAAATAGTCTCGTCTAGCTCTTGAATGTGCCAAAATACAATCTATTAAATAATTTCATAGTCAAATACAGATGTATATCTTGCTGCAACTAATAAGAAACTTGAAGCATGCAACAGTCACATAAAGAAAAAAACAAAGCCCAAATACTTTACAATTTCCAAGTATTCACTAGAGCTGTTCCATCTTGACTTCACCTTGCTGTGCCAAAGCGATCCAGAGGGTTTTATTTACAACTCCTAAATATTAGTTACAGCCAGAACTGCAGCTCTGATCTCCACACAGCTGTGACAGACTGGTTAACAGAGCTGATGGGAAGAAGGGGAGAGAAAAACAAAAGCAAAAGAAGTAGGTGTGTGGTGGTGGTAGTGGGGAGGCTGAAATTTATGCTGATACAAACTCTACAGTCTTTAAGTTTGATAACAAAAAACATGCCTAAACACAGAAGGCCAATAATATCCTATGAAGAGGAACGCAAGTCCCTCATCCCTTGTGCCACGCCGTATTCAGACTCTGGCAGAGAAAAAAACGCTCTCAAAAAAGGAAAAAAAAAAAAAATCCACAAGCGGGTTTATTAGTGGGGACGGCTCTCTGTAAGGCTACAGGCACAGGAGCGCACACGTTTCTGCAAACGTGGGTGAGCGTGCCGCTGATGAAGTAAACCAGACACCTAAGTGCAGGAGAACTGCCCCACTTGGCCCGCTTTCCCTGGCTCCCGCAGGGGGCAGCTCTGAAGCCGCCGCGAGCGCCCCAACGGCCGCC